TGGGAGTTCCCTAAGGCTCTTAGGAAGTTTATTGAAAACTGAAATGCACATGTAATACACATTATTTTTCATCAAAGATGTTCTACAAAATGGAATCATTATTTTCGTAGGATCTCTTGGTCTGTATTTAGTAACATGATCCCCCTTGAATTTAAAGAAATTATTATATTTCCTAACAAAGATTGATACTTCAAGAACATACATGCAGGTCAATGTCAGCAAATTATGTTTTTTATACAACGGTTTACAAGAGTCAAGTGGACTCACTCCACAAACAGCTCTTAAACATTTCTTTTGGGCAATAAAGGCTTGATCAACATCAGTCGAATTCCCCCATATTATTAACCTAGTGCTTTAACCGCTTTACAGTTTGCCATTATACATTCATCCCATATAATAAGATAATAATCACGTAAAATCGACTCTAATTCGGCTTTGAAACTTCTGACATAGGGATTAATTTAGTGCAACATATTCTGAAGTTGAGATCAGTTGAGGAAAGTTTTGATGTCGTATATTGGCCATTTCATTGTAATTTGATACAAAATATATTTGAAGAAATCTTGGCTCATTTTGGGGGAGCAAAGATCCAATAAGGTGGTAAACCCGGCCCTTTAGGTAGCTTAAAAGTTGGCATGAATCAAGAATAAAAAATTAAGAAAAATACTAACTATAGGCACTAACCTTACTTACCCATATGTATTTAAAGTTTAATTGTTAAAACGTGTTTATATAACCTGATATAAAATGTATACCTCGGTAACAAAAGAAATGTGTAATAGCTTTTTTTAAAGTCCGTTATAATATGTACAGATTCATTTTAATTAACTACTAACCTAAGTTAATAAAATAAATTACACATAATTTGGCTAATAAAATCGCCTACTTACGTGTAAACATTTTTATTTATTTATTAAAATAAAAAACGGCGTGAGAGGTCTATGGACCTCCGGTCGGAGTTCCTTTCGAAGATAAATTATGAGTAGACTCAGCTCAGCAGCATTAACAGTAAGAAAAACTCGAGACTTGACTGATGTTGACAAGCACGACTTGTTTACTTATTGATTTTATCATAGCATAGCATAATGTCGTCTGGGAACAGGACCCTCTCATACCGGCTGACGCATGTAATCACTGGGAAAGGATGCTTCGGAGATCACCTGTGTCTGATTCGCAAGCAGCCACCACTGCGATGGTCGGACCGTAGACACGGCGCTCCACAAACTGGCAGAATGCCCGGCGTGGGTGGCGCAGAGCCGTGACCTTGTGGCGGCCATCGGAGTGGGAGTTCTCTCGCTCGATAACATGATTGCGGCCATGGTGGCCAAGTTATGCTTGCGAAGGAGATGGCGTAGAGAGTTCTAAACCTCTCCCGGTCCGCCAGGCCCGGGAACGGGCTAGGTAACGCAGACGACTCAGGCGCCGGTGGTCGCAGAACGATCTCCGTCCTCCATAAGCGCAGGCCTGGGGGTGACAGGTGAGGCCATCTGTCACCTTAGCAGAAACACGTCTGGGTGGCGGGAGACGCGCTGTGGAGCACAAAGGAAACATGGGGGTTCCCACACAGGAAGGGGTCTTCTACCCGCCGTAGATGGCCAGAGGTTCGTCGGGGTACCAGGGATTTCCTTTCTAGTGTCCACCTGGTTCCCCGGCTACTGGTACCCGAGACGGCGTGCGGTGGTATCCGAGAGGATTTCCGTACAGGAACAAAAAGGGGGAATGATGCTGAGATACAATCTTTTTGTGTGCTACAGAAGAGAGCAAATTATCGAATTGACAGTAGTATGTCAATATATTTATGAAAATGTAATAAAGTTATGTACGTTCTATCATCAACAGCCTTTAATAGTCCACTGTTGGACATATGCCTCTCCTTGGAAATGAGGTTTTGGCCTACTATACAACGCAGGCCAGACGGGTTGGTACAGGGTTTGTTGCAAGGTTTCCTTCTCTTTGCAGTGCTGTTGTTCTGCGTAGTTTGTTCCCTTAGTCGGCTCTCACGACACCCTCGGGATGAATTGGGGTGGTAACAATTGGTATTCTGAATCCATCACCACACGGACTACACACCACTCTATAAATACCAGAAATAGAAATAAACTTATTGTACCTGCCTCTAAGCTCCAAAAGATAAACAAGTCATTTCGAGGCCAATGTGTCCAATTTTATAATAAAATCCCAAATAATATAAGAAACTTAAGTATAAACAAATTTAAATCCGCAATAAATCGTGAATTATGTCAGAAAGCCCACTTCTTAATTGTGGATTACATAGAAGACAAAAATACTTGGGATTGATTTAGGACAGGCTATTTCTTAAATGGAAATGTAGTGTAGGAGAGTGTGTTGTTTATTTATTAAAAAAAATGTTGTCATCACTTTCTTTTCTATTACATATTATTTCTCTTCATTGCCTCTTTACCTTCAAGTACTTAACAATATGTAACATAATAACAATGACATACTTACTGGCCCACATCAAAACAATGTTGCGTTATATTTAATGATAGGTACTATTGGACCTCTCTGTTAATCTATCTTTTCATAAGGCTCAACCCCTTGGAAACGAGCGGTTGTAGATCGGCATATATGTAATGGATTTTCAATAGGTATCATCATCAACAGTCTTTAACAGTCTACTGCTGGACATAGGCCTCTTCTTCGATAGGTATAATTTTATTAAACGTATTTCGCTACATATTTGACAGTGATTGTGGCTATTGTGCGTGTTGATCTATGAGTTTGGAGTCTACATACGTAGGCCATATATAAATTTAAGGACACGCAAAAAATAAACAATATACATTTACAATTTATATTATATTTTACTCTCCATCACTCTCTATACAAATTTCCATCCGCCCAAACCAGTCTTGAAAACACATATTCTAGTCCTCCTCCGACAGGTCGAAAATGGCTGATTCGTAGGCAGCCACTGCACACTTCAAACTAAGCAAATCTTACAAGCTTTGCCTTTGCTTTGTTTTTATTGTGTAAATCCGTACATATGACATATGACACACAAATTCCGAAACAAATATTTGCATTCGTACAAACATTTTGTCGGACCCGGGTGCCGAATCCTAACATCTGCATAGCAGTCGCATACGTTACCACTGCACCGTCGCAGTCAACGCTACTTCATGAATTATACTCCTACCAAAAATTACTTGACGCGGCTAAAAAGTATTTACTTTAAAATTAAAACCCAGTAAATGATATCGCTATATTTTATCGCTTTTACAATATCACTAATTCACTTTACATTAGTATAGAATCAGGTGAAGTTACTCGTAAGTAATATTACGAGTACATACAATACACAGTACGCCACATTTTTTAGGGAGTTTTGACTTGAGTTCACTAACTAGCAACACGTACAAAATGGCGAAAACAATAATCATTTATTTTAGAAATATTTCAATGGCTTTTTTGCTTAATCAAATACGAAACAATGGCAGTTACCTATGTTAGGTGACTTTTTAGTTTTATTTAGATCGTCCTTCACAATGTCTACACACTTTTATCTCACACAAAATTAAAACGTCATAATGAATAACACAAAATATGAAAGCAACGTGTGCGTATCCAGTGTGCGTAATAAACCCATTGATATAAGTGTTGTTTTAACTCAATGACTAAACCTCTAATATCTTCTTAAATGTTCATTTTAATGAAATGTTGTAAGAGCAATTCTAATCTACATTAAATGCACAACGAATCTAACGTATTTAATTGGATAAGGAATAATATTATATTGTTTAACCCATTAGAAGTCACTGTACTCAATTGAGTACAGCCATTTTTTTTTAATTTCAATTCAACACTTGTAAAATTAAAGGGGCCTGGTAGCGTGATTATTTTTGCCAAAAAGTGTCAGTTGAAGTAGTGTCACCGAAACACTGGGGAGGTAAGTAAATGATATGAGATTTTTTAAAGTTATTTCTGTTTATAAGTTATTTTTTTTTATTTCATTAGTATAAAATAAATGTCAGAGTAAGTTATAATAAACAATACAATCAATGATTCATTACTAAAATAAAACTACAGTCATATAATGTTGCTGTACTCGACCCCTGAAATTTTATGCAATCTAAATTTTTTCCATTTTTTTCTTTCGTTTTGTGTTTCTGTGTACTTATTTGAATATAAAAATAAAGATAATTTAAAAAAAACATCGGTACTTTTCATTTGACCTTTAATGGGTTAAAATAGGTCCGTGAATAACCCATTATTTTTTAGTAATATTTAAAAAATAAAAATGGTTACTGTGGTTTAGCCTTAGGAGATAGACATATACCATAGCGGACTTTTCTGTAGATAAGTCTCCATATAAGTCTACCTTCCTTTTGATCCACTCTCTCTATTGGTGAAAACCACATTAAAATCCGTTGCTTAGTTTAAAAGATCTAAGCAAGCAAAGATCTAAGCTAACAGTCTCGATCTCATACACTCAGAACGCACGATAAGCAACTTCGTTCCAAAAACGATATCATAGATATGCACGATAATAATAGGAATTTCACTGATGAGCAAATATTATTTCATTCAATGCATTCTTTATTTATGAGTTTGCTATCCTTTATAAGAGCCTTTTTACAAGAGCCTTTTTTGCTAAACAAATGTGTTCCTTCAATCATAATCGCGCGTTTAGTACAGTAACTGATAAAGCACGTCGATTCTATTAGCGACTAAATATAGGTTTAAGGATAATGGTTTATTTTCATATTAGATGTTTATTGCCAGTGCCACCGGCTTCTTTCGCGTGTATGTCGTAATGTATATATATATTACTTCAGCAAATATTTTATATTTGCCAACGTCTTTTGGTAGTAAACAGTTCTACTTTAGATTATTTATTATGTGCAGAATTTTGAGTTTGAGTATATTTCATCATCATCATCATCAACAGCCTATACTAGTCCACTGCTGGACATAGGCCTCTCCTTAGAAAGGAGGTTGAGTATATTTGCCAGTACCGATTTCTTAAAAGCTTAAAGATGGATATGCAATTAATTCATAAAATGAAGAAAGGTCTTTGGTCAGAACGGGAACATCGATCGGTATTTCTCGGGACATGACAAGTCTGGCATTTGATCCACTATAACCTACGTTACACAAGACTAGGGCGCCTTCCCAGCTGTATGAGCAGGCTGTGTCGGAAGCCTAAGCGTTAATATACACAATAATAATACTGATAAAGTGGCGGCAGGTAACGGGAACAATTTGTGACCCCAGTTTCCACTAAAAATTAAAAGGACAAATTTCATGAAGGCATTTCATGATACGACATCAGTCCGAAAATACCGCAGGCGACAATTTGGTTGATTGGTTGTACGAAGCAAAAAGTTTCTTGAAAAGCATACAGTGCGACCGATATTAGTCCAAACAATTCCTCTGAGCACGCTTCATGATACAGGTAATAGAGAATTTCATGCAAAGAGCAGCTACATCTACAAAATCAAATAATCCTGATTTTGGAAGCCTCCTGATTAAATAAATTGTACAATAGTTCAGATTAAATGAAAGTGAATCATGGGGTACAATGATTTGATTATTATGTAGCTTTGTATATTTTAACAAAATATGGTGGAAACTGATCAAGTAAAGAACGGAGTGCTGTTCAGCGTTTCCTTTGTTTCTTCCATTTTTTGGATTTGTCGATTTGATGCCTATCTTCAAATACAATGATGTATTATCACATTATGTTCTAATCACAGAGTATTTTAATACATGTGAAAGGTTCTATCCTCCTACTCTACGATAAGTACAAGTTCCAGAAACTTATGTCACGGCTAAATAGTGAAGAAACATTACTATTAATATTTAATGAAAATATTTATTATATTTAGTTATAAATCAAAAGTTTTTTTTGTTTATGTTTGTTGTTGTTGTTTACTCTACTGTTTGGTTTTAATTTTATTCACAAGTTATTTTATTTACATTATTTACGTGAATAACTACAATAGTTTTAATCAAAATAGCCAAAGATAAAATTCCTTGGTATTATAATAGCTACTATTTTGAAGAGTTAAAATTTAGTCTATGGTGCAAATAGACAAAAGATCAACCAATCAAACTTATCTGTGGTGGGGCGGACGAAACGAAATGAAAGTCCGCCACATGTCCGCCATATCTACTACATCTTCTTTCTAATAGTGACGTTCGTATTATTTTGTGTTAGATAGCGTTATTGTGTAGATATTCGTTGTATAATTTAATTATTTTTTTAGTTTATCTAATTCACGGTGAGTAAAGTGTAAATGTGGTTTTGACATATTGATAGTTTTTAATTTGGAACTTGTTTGTCCGCGCCGTGCTTTACGTATTGTCAAAATGGAAAAATCCTAGTTTTATAGTAACTACAGCCTAATTGTATGTGTTATAATTAAATCAAATCCGTTAAACCACCATCGTGACGTATTTTGTAGCGTTTAAACGGTGCATAAAAACTACACGATAAATTTTGGTGTCGGCATTATAAGACGGTGTACCCAATATTTCACAGACCCTCGACGGCGGATATCACCATGGAGTCACCACGGAAATTCAACGACTGCTACTTTTATTATTACTCCACATGCACGAAGGTAAAAAAATATTTACAAATGTTAAATTGTTAGATTTTATATTTCATCATAATGTCAAATTGTTTTGATTTTGGCTGATTTAATCTATAAAACTGTTCATTTTACTATTTCATGGTATTTTTCTGTGGATTCTGTGCTGTTAATTTTAAAATCACCATTTATTTACAGGCTTATATCTTTATAAAAAAACATTTACCTATATTCTTTTAAATATTTATTGACATTGTCATTTTAAAACCAACAATTTATTTAAATAATGTTCAACATTTATACCATGTCCAGTTGAAATGTCAAAGTTATAGATAAATCTAAATTTGACCATGTGGTATTTAATGAAAATCCATTAGTTATGTGTACACACATACACATCTTGAGTTTGTATTATATAATGAAATTGAATATCATTTCATTTCATTTAATCATCATTCATTCAATCATTTAATTTAATTTAATCATTTAATCATTTGAGGTATTTAATGTTTCCTTTACAAATTGTTTTGTATCAGTTACACATCTGATTCTTAATAATATGTATGTCTTTAACAGGGAGATAACTGTGTGTTCCGGCATGAACCATCAGCTCTGGGCTGTGAGACGATGTGCTCAGCCTGGCAGCAAGGCAAGTGCCTTGATAAACGCTGCAAGTTACGTCACATGGAATTGAGGGTATGTACATTTATACTTTTGTAACAAATTCTAGTCACAAGTTCTGGCTACTAAAAACTGAATTTTATAGGTAACTTATAGTGGTTATAGTTACATTAAATTTTGTTATTAACCTCTGATATGCTGCTTATACTGTACAGTAAAAGTAAAAGCACTTTACAGTGCAGTGGCATATCAGAGGGGTGGCATGTGAAGAGTTAGGTTTACATTTTTTTGATACTGATTTACTACACATGTCTTTTATCTTTCGTCACTGTGTTTTATCTTATCCCTGGAGCCTATTTAAAATTCTCTTGATGTATGTAGTAAAATTACTGCTCTAAATAGCAATTTAAAAACTATTGTAAGAAATAATGTAGCAATAAGATGGAGAAATAAACTTACAATTTTTATTAAAAATTTCATAGATGAATTACAAATTTTACGCTAATTTCACAAATATTGTTATGCATGCCACAGATTCATTTCATTACTGTGCTGCACTTTATAAACAATTTATCAGTAAAGTTCTAACAATGTGCTAGTTATTTTTTTACGGTTTTTAACATATTGATACCATTTCATGAAGAAACTCTTGCACTCTTTGAATCGGTTTGATGTATAAATAACTAACTGTAAGTGCTCCATTTTTATAAAACTGACACTGCATATTAAAGCCAATATGCCCAATAAATAGCATAATTCTAAATTTGCAAATGGATCAGAGATATGTTGACACTTTTGACTGAGATAGAATAAAAATGTTACGAGAAATAGTTTCACCTTTCTATGAAGAAGTAGAAAAAAATGTTGGTATATCATCACATGTACAGTTACTAAAACTCGAAATTTTTTGACTTATGCACTGTTAGAAGATCATTAATGAATTGATTGTAATGGGGTTGTTAAACAACATGCCAGCGGAAAATAGAAGATGCACTTGCAATACGACTCAACTGACTCTGTTGTAAAATCTGACTTGTAAAAATATCCAAAAGCAACTTGTAACAATATCTGAAAATATGTAATGCCAGAAATAAATATAAATTCATCATTTCATTTCATTCTGGTTTGCAATGTGTGCTCAATACTAGTAACTATACAAATGTCAGATTAAAACCTTGAAACCACATTCAAAATCAGGAAAATTGTGTTACTAAGTGTGGTACTTTGTTTTTAAATTAATTAATGGTACCTAACTGCTGCTCCCTTGATACCAGAAAGTCATTCTCGAAATAACAATTTGTTTAAAATTCAGTGCAGAAACACAGAAATGTAATAGGGTATTAGTAACACACTAACAGAATACGGATCCAATTTTCGGTCATGTTGTTGGATGTTCAGCATTTACTACGAGAACACCTTTTTCGACATTTGTGAGATTGAGAGTAGATCGGAAGCAATTTTTATTTTGTCGATTAACGACCTTTTGTGAAAATTTAATACAAAAGATTATAGTAATATAATATATATATATAACAATGATAAGAAAATAATAATTCTGATTGTACTTGTTTCAAATGAGTTTTTACTTTTACTTACACAAGGTCTTTTAATAAGGAAAAACTTTCATCACTTTGAATTTCACAATTTTCATAAAAGGTGTTAGATATAATTAAGATGTGTGTGAGGGGGATAACTTTTTATTTTTTAAATTGAGACTTCCAATAATTGTGTTTTAATATGACTGTTCATATCAGTAAAAAGTAGGTTCATAAAAGTAGGTTGGATCGAGTTTGAAGCTATATAGTTTTGTTTCTATAAAATTTTAAAGAAACAGGCCTAGCCAGGTTTAGGGATAAAATCTAGACTTGCAGAGGTTGGATTATTTGAAAAACTGGAAATATTTCGATTTTTAAATCTGATTCAGTAATAATTGAACTTTCGAAGATTTGCATTAGCTGCAGGCCCACTGATAAGTGATTGTGCCACTATTTTTAGTTTAAAAAAGCCAAAGTTTAAAAAACGGACACAGTGTAGTAGACAGGTGTAGTAGTTATTTTAATAATCCCGCATATAGTTGTCTCTTGCGGTAATCGATCTCATAATCCTGTGCCTGTTAGTGACGCGATCACTTAACCACCATGAGCGGGGTGCAGTGAAAATCGCACGTGGATTGCCTTCCCTGCCGTCCACGTGTGATTTTCTTGCGTTTGCACCTCAGAAGGAACGCCAGGTTCGTGTATTGGAAACGACACCACTGAACCGCACCAGTGGGGTGTCGTTTACAATAAAAAAAATCTAACAACACCACTGCTCACTAGTGATGTATAACGTGAAATAAAACAATTTGTTACGTGTTAATTTTTAATAATAATGTTGAAATTGGTCGAGTTCACAGTGATTTGTAAAAAAATAATAATTGTATCCATTACAACAAAAAATAACTAAATTAACTATTCTTTTTTTTCACCGTACTTTTGTTTCACTTCATCTGCTACCTTTAATACAAATTTTACAAATTCGACTGCACGGATGGCGTAGTGGTTTAAGCGGTCGCCACGCCGCTTCCTATTACGTCGAGTGTTGTGGGTTCAAACCCCACATGGAACAACACTTTGTGTGATCCACAAATTGTTGTTCTGAGTTCTGAGTCTGAGGTGGGTGTACTTTGTGTCCGTTTCATGTATGTTTGTAAAGACCCCCCGCGACACAGGATTTATTCCTAGTGCAGGAGTTGTCTTTTTAAAAGAATAACAGAATTAAAAGAATAACAAATTCTGGAAACCTGCCAAAAGCTTTTTAAAATGGAATGAAGAAAATTGATATCGATAAATGCATTAGTTTTGTTTAAAACTTTATTACGGTGGTGTCGTTACAAAAAATAATGTAAACGACTCCCCAGAGGCTAAATCACAGTGGTGTTGTTTACAAAACACGGCCAGGTTGGATGGATATCTTCTGACTCTTTGAGAGTGTTATCATCCCCGATAGGGTAACCCTTTTGCTCTCGTAGGAGCCTCCCTTGAAATCTTGTCTAATAAGAGGAATATAGCGACCATTTTTGTCATTTTACCTCCCTACATTACCATCCCGCATCCTTGACAGTACAGTCTTAAGGTACTGTAGTAAGAGATGAGGTATTAATGGTGCACACTTATTTTTGAGATATTTTCATTGCACGTTATTGTCTTTACGGCATCTTATCTCATGTATGAGCAAGTTAATCCTTGAGCACTCTTGAGTAGTAACTATCCATGGTCCAGCAGTAGTCTCTTACTATTAGATGCCCAAGTGTGAGTTCACTTCTACTCGATGGTCCCGGCGACCGCGTTCGGCGCTGTGATTGGCTCCAACTAAACTCTTCACCAATCGCAACACCGAACGCGTCCGCCGTGCCCATCGAGTCGATGTAAAATACATTTACACAAGGCCCTCAGGTCACCCGTCTGCTCGTTTGCCTTTGTGCTATAAAAAAGTGTTGTTATTATTAATTATTTCGTTCAGCGTTACTTTCTTTAATCCTTTCATTACCGTAATATGTGTGTTATTTATAACTGTTAGCATTAAAAACCCCTTTAATTTAATTCATGAAAATAGTCAATCTCAGAATAACGATGAATAAATGAATAAATTGAATAGTTAAATTCGTATTTAATTTTTATAAAATTCGGGTAATCAGCGTATAGTCTAACAAGTATCATATAAATAGATTTCGTAAGTAGTACATGAATAAATAACAGTTAGAATTGAAGTATAAACTAAACGCTATGCTTGCACCCATATTTTTATTAGGTACGTCATTATGAACGCAGTTGCTCTTTGTAAACTTACACCTAAAGACTTGGATCAAAGGTATCTCATGCTCTCTTCGGTCACTTATTCTATGCAAAAATCATTTTCATTGATTCAAACTACGACTTTTCTCACGTGAAAAATTATTTAACGGGATATTAAATATGTTTATTTTCGGGGACTTAGTTTCCGAATAACGCTCAGTTCCTTCGTTCATGGTTTCATAAGTATCGTATAGGTTAAGACTCCTATTTGTCTATTACGATGTGTGATATATAATTATTGCTAAAAGCGATGTTCAAATTAATCGTTTAATTGACAACACCAAATGATATATTTGACAAGTGAGAGTGCCATGCCTCGGCGGCTCATGGGCCAGCTCGACCGGAGTGATACGACCACGACCTTACAGACAATCGGAGTCAAACAAATCTTTCCTTGCTCTTAACCGAGTGAGGGTGGAGATCGGAGAACTAATCCCTCCCTTCTAAATCTGGGGGTGCACTTAAAAGGACGGCGGGTAGCCACTTACCATCAGGTGAGACCCGTCAGTTCGTTTGCCTCCTAAACCATAAAATATGTAGAAAAAATAATTTCATAAGTACAGTTTTTATATCTGTATCTAATAGTGATGTTATAAATATTCGACTTCGCGAATCCGATAATAATAAAAAATCCCGACAAAATGTACCGTTATTATCATATTCATAATCGAACCGAAAGTATTTACTCACAAATACATATGAAACAACTAAATTGTATGTACAATTAAGTTCAAAATGCATAGATTAGGTAGAGAGATCTTACATTGCCATGTAGTTTATTTTGCAGGTACAAGCGTTATCACAAATAAGAATTCAGTAAATCCAATTAGATACATTGTTATTTTAGGCATCACTAGCTTTGGCCTTGGCTACCTTGTGTAAAGTTATTTGCTAGCCCTTGGAAACAGAATTATTTTTCTAAATAAAAAAAATTACCCCACTAACCCAATGACAACTCAATAAAAATCGAGATGATCAGTTTCGCAGTTTAATTGAAAAATACAATCTCAAAATAAGTTGGTGTTGTAATTTCGAATGCGAATGTTAGTTACACCACCGCTAGCTAACTATGAGTCAAGGGATTTTTTTTGTGCGGAAATCCCCTCGGATAACACCCACCGTACGCCTACCAGTAGACGGTGAACCAGGTGTACCCGAGAAAGGAAATCCCTGGTACCCCGACGGACGGCTTGTAAATGACCCTCTCTTGTGTTGCAATCACAATATTGACAGTCTACTAAACATACCTAAAGGTCGCGTAGCGCTCCGCAGCGCATCACGCCGCCACACCGGCCTGCTTCTGATCATCAGATCAAATTGTATTTCTAGGATCACCTAGAAATACAATTTAGAAATCCTAGTTCAGGGATGAATTCGAGTTTTTGAAATATCAATAAATTATTATGTGGTTTTTTTTTTACAGAAAAACCGCAAACAAATCCCATGTTACTGGGAGAACCAGCCTGGTGGTTGTCGCAAGATTCATTGCCCATTCATGCACAAGAACCCTGAAGCGCGCACTGACGGTATTGCGCCCAGCCAGCCGCCGCAACCACAATCCGTGAGCATACTTTATAACTAAAAATGTTATGTCAGGTTGTAGAAGCACACGTGATAGCGACACGTAATTGTCAATGAAATAGTATATTCTCATACAAAAAATCGTCGGGTTGGTATAGTGATTGTTTCAAGTTTTCTCTGTGCAGTGCTGTTGTCCTGCGTAGCTTGCTCCTTTAATCGGCTCTTACGACACCCACGGGATGAATAGGGGTGGTGACACTGTATTCTTAATCCGTCAACACACGGATAAAGATTGTTTTTATCTATTTTTCGCATCAGTTTTGTTCCTGATCTCTCATCGATGCCAAAAACATGTGCCACAGCGATGCGTGGCAGGGTACAGCTAGTTTACTATAACATTTATTGTAAATTTAATTTAAAAAAACGAGTGTGCTTTAGACCACACTACTGAAGAAAAACTTCTTGGTCATGAGAGAAGGAAAATGTGTGCTCGCATCTCTCTCTCTTGTTCCTACAGTAATGTATGAAATGTAACTCTCCCCTCTCCCTTCGTAACGCTCTCGTCACGCATTCGCCAGATTTCTCCACAAGTCAAGAAGTTTTACTTAGAAAAGTAGCAAACAGCTATAATACTAAAAAGACAAAAAAGATAGCAGTAATTCCTGTCATAGGGAGCTCGGGTATGCCCTAAAAGTATGGGTATAGTTCTTGTAAAGTGAATTGAAGGGAATGATACAGTTTATATATTGACTACAGGTACCCACATCTATAAACGTACCCGAGCAAGTGCCGGAGCAGCCGCCAATGAACAGCGGCGTGGCGCCCCCCGTGCCCGCGCCACAGCCCGTGCCGCTCCTGTGGCAGCAACAGCGCCAAGGTACACATATTTCTATCTCTTGAGACAACTATACAGCCTGTGTTCATGCTCACCACTTACAGCCAGTTCGTGCTTTCGGCCCTTAAGTGTCGTAGAAGAAAACATGAATCTATGTTGAGATTTTTTTATTTCTTTGGTCATTTAGTTAATTGGTTGATGAATATATTATGAGAGTTCATGATTACTAAGCTATAAAATGGATAGTTTTTGACGGGTATCCGGCTAATCTAGACTCCGGATAGACGGACGTAGAGTGTAAGCCATTCTATGGAGGAAGTGCATTCATCCTATTTTTATAAAATACCATGATTAGCCAGTACTGATGCAGTATTGTTTTTTCACATAGCTTAATTGAGTCAGAATATTAGAGACAGACAGCTAGGATTTGGTGTCGACTGCTAGACACTAGTAGTTTTTTAAAAAGACTACCATCAACATCTTTATATTTATTATTTTGTTGTGGAGAACTTTTATTAGGTTCTATGAACGTGTCAGTAGTTAGCTAGTGGAAGAGGCCTGTTTCGTTAGGGTGTATTCGTCTGTGGAAGCACGCTGAGTGTGGATTTCCCGCAGCCGTGGTGCTGGACTCCGCGATCCTGGGCGTGCTGCCCGGCTCGGGCGAGCTGCTGGGAGGGCGGCGCGTGCTGCCCCCCCACGAGCCGGCGCCCAACCCTTACGCGCAGCTGCCCGTCGACCCTCTCGTCGTCAACTTCGAGGAAGGTATGCGCCTCTACTGAAACTACATGTACTAAGCCCGGGCCAGACGATTTGAGACCTCGCACTCTTGCTGCCGATGTCACCGCGCGCCGCCCTAGGCCTTCTGTGTGCTCGCTCGTAGCGCGCCGCTCTCCGCCCTCGCTCAGTCACTCGCCCGTGTTACGAACCGACCTTTTTATTAGCGATGAGACACGAAGCAGTTCGGTGAGGGCGCTACGATTGATGCCGTTGACCCATCCACCGAAGATATGGTATATAGTACACAGAATGTTCTAAACGCTTCGGTCACTGTCAGGTGTCGATGAATTGTAAACTGGCAGTGATTAGAAATCAGGGCGCGTCAGCTAAAAAGAGTTCTCAAATTGTTTGATTCGGGCTTAAGGCTTTATTTGCTGTGACGAGTTTGAAAAGTCATCAAAATATGTATTAGTTTGAATTAAATTTGGACAAGTGTTTTATGATAAAAGTAAGGTAAAAGTGGGCAAATATAACGACTCGTTTATACTACCGTTGTGGAATGAACATTAAATATGTTATGTGGCATTGGAACTATACAGTTTATGTAGCACCGATGGAGAAGAAGAGAGAAGTGTTACATATATTTTATGTATAACGAATAGAATTTCTATTTGCAATGTACAATTTTGGAAGGTGGAAAGTGAGTGTGTTATATGAACTATACAAAAATGAAGGGATCTGAAGGATGTTACGGCTGTTTTGATGACTTACAAATGAAGTCTCGAGCAAATCCAGTAGCCACACTATAAATATAATATTATGTACTACTGCACTCGAGTTTTCAATAGACATTAGCTATATAAATATACTCGTAATATCATGGCTCGCGGATATAATATGTCTCATGTTGCTGAGCCAAACGCTTTTAAGGCGATATGATTGTAAACTTAGACTCTTTGTCCATTGAAATGTTATAAAAAAATAATCGTAGAATTTTTTTGATAAAATGAAATGTTTGATGTAGTCTTACATTGTACTGCCTTTTCACTTTCGTATAATACTTACAGCTTAAATGCATTGGAACGAAGATAAAGTATATTATTTATCTAAGTTGATGAAAGTGAAAACTATCACTCCAATGGACAAGGAGCCTAAACGCATTATTAATATAATTGGGTAGTTGAAAACTCAGCATTGATTGTCATGTCATGGGCGGTTTGCGTAGGGTTAAGCATGAACTATGTTATACAATTCAAACGCTCATATATTATAATATATTGTTTTTGTTTTTCTAAATAACACTGTTCTTTCTATATCGCGGCACGACAGCCTTGATCGTTGAAAACTCCGGTCATTACTCGCATTGGAAGGGTTATAATATTTTTAGTGTCCTACCCTTTGTTGTGCCAATATATAATATATTTGTCAAAACGACCGAGCTGTTGATTGATTACTATAAAAATATATATGTATAAATATATATATATTTATTCACACGTTAATGTTTAAGTAATTTTCGCCTACGTTTATTGTCGCTGGCGAATTAGGAACTTATTTGTTTATATTTTTTTTTACTTGACGGGGTGCATTCTGCCGGCTATTTTTTACAAATTTGTAGAAAGAAAATACGTTTTGTTCTCCTAGTTCGCGACACGCATGATTTGAACACATGGAAGGTATTATTGTTTTAATTTCGCCAATAGTCAATTAATATAGTATTTATTGTATAGATATTATTGGATTCAGTTTCGCAACTGAGAGGAGGGAGCGGACGATTTAGGGCGCTACGTTACGAACTGAATCCAAAATGAACTAGATCCATTATTGTTTTTTTTTTGTTGCCGGAAGAGGCATCTTTTTGGTTGACTCTAACTTAGACAATGTTTAGCTGTTTTTTTATACCATAGACAATGATTAAACAAAGTGGGGCTATACTTAACTCACTGAGATAATATTGAAAGCCTTTCTTTCACGACGCGATTCGTGAAAGATATATTGAGAAAAAGCGACGTCGGTATTTTTGTATGTGCAATAAATTAGAGAATTATGTCTCTCATATCTTAGCTAATTAGATTCATTAATATCTCGCGCTTTTTCATTTACTGTATCGTATATAACTATTTATATCACATAGATAATTACAGTCATATTTTAAGGAAAAATCCAACGATTTTAACTAAAAATATCACTGCAATACTTTTTTAAATAGATGTTGATATAATCTTTGTCTATGATAGAAAAGTACATAATAAATAGGTTTAATAACATATAAAATACAAATAAAAATATATATACACGATTATTGTAACTCATTAATATAGGTGAAAAAAAAAAGAAAAAAAAACAGCTTTATGCCTTTAAATTGTTTGTATGTTAGTATGTAGGATGTTTTAAAGGGGCTTTGGCAGTTTATAAAGGTACCCACTGCTACCTGCCCCCAATACTTTATATTCGCACCGTGAGAGTTAAATAGAGCTAATTAAAAAACGTATCTCTAGGTATACACAGCGCAAATCCCAGTTTTATAAAACGTATGTGATTCTATAGAGCTGGGAGTTTCGTTAAAAAAATCGTGCTTAAGATTGTATTACCAAGTTTAGACAGATAAAAAAAAAGAGATAAGCTAACAAAATGAGCCTTTGATTGCTTAGCGGTTTTGATAAAGTCCGATAAGCTTCCGATTCACCGTATTAACTAACGATAACACTTCGCGAACACACTGAACGCGAGTACATGAAATTATGTGTAAAATGTTTTGGCGACACAAGGAATTCATTTTATTTTTGCACAGAGTAAAGTTCCTATATTTATTACAAAATCGCAAATACGTGAACAGGACATGATTAAAAAAAATATGATTCCCATTATGGTCCATGGTACGCCTAGTCATTATTTATGTATAAAAACTATTTATCAATATTTAAAATAAAAATAGTCTCGATTTGGTGGGGATAGAATATTAAGGTCGGAGGAATCTTGTATAATTTTAACATGCTCAGTTTTTACACATTCAAATTTCGAAGTGTTCGCTTAAAGAGGGAAAATAAAAATTATTGTAAGTTTTTTTTGTAATAAAATTAGCGGAAAAGTGTACTAAACGTTAAGGGGTATAATTTTAGAGTGATTAGTACAAAGAGGGTTGCTTTCTTTAGAGGCAGCTGTTGAAAAAAAAAAGAAATTGGTTTCGCTGTAACTGTAGCAATACATTTTATATTTAGTATAATGGTGTAGTCTTGTCTCTTTTTATACTAATAAACTATTTATTTACCTTTAGACTAATTGTTGGAATGTTAATGTTTTACGTTAGACAGGTAAATTTCTGTCAAACAAGCGCTTGAGGTGTTGTGATATATGTCCCGACTGTGTAATAATTTCCAAGTACTGATTACGAAGTTATTTCCTTCGAGGCATCTTCTGTCGAGTGATATATATTCATAGCTACATAAGCGCTATTCTTTCAGTTATATAAACCGATTTTGTTGAATGTGGAACTATTTTTTATTTAACATTTTTATTAATAATATGAAGATTTTAAAAGGTACTTGTTCTGAATTTGCCCATGAGAGTGATAAACGTTCGGTCCACATTGAATCACAATCGGTTATGATAAGCCTTACACTTTATCTATTGTTTGCATACGTGTGAGGGAAATGTGATGGAATTAGCGATGCAGCAGTTTTGAGACACGTTGTGTTCCATGACATTTAGTTCGGTGAGGGGCCACGTGCGCCGGGGGAGGCGAGTGCCTACAATTAGTTCTTGTTTCAAATAATACGGGGTTGTTGTTATGTTAATCTTAGCCTTATTTTATAATAAGAATTTCAAAATATGTTTATTACCTTATTAGTGACGCGTGTCTAGTACCTTTCGTTTAAGCTAATTAATATTCAGACCGATATAGGAACTCGTAACGGAACATAATTATACTTTGGCTTCGTTTAATCAAATTGTGTTTAATATACCAACGAGTAAATAAAAATGTTTCGTAATATGATTTTTGTAATTATTTTTGACCGCCCACCCTTCGAGAGTCGCTTTCGGATAGACGCGCGAGAACACACCGCGATGCCGGACGGGTCGTTTCAAAATTAATTACGAAAATCATTGAGAAAATTTGGATGTCGCGTCCGACTAAGCGGTCCGGTGTGTGTTCTTGCAGAATCCGATAACGAAAGCGCACCCTCGTCCACGCCCACTAAAATATTGTCGCCCGACGACGCCCAGAAAGTAGCGCGCTCCAAGTCCCAGGAGCTGCTGCTGCTGGAGAAGATCCAGGCCGAGGCGGCCGCCTACTACCGCTACGACGCGCCGCCTCGCCCGCCCGCCCGCGCATGCCTCGCCGCCAAGTTCGACGAGCCGGACTTCAAGGTGCTGTCGCTCGACGAGATCCGCGCCAGGAAGAAGAGCGAAGCTATCATACAGAATAAACCGATCACGATTAATTTGAGTAGAAAAAGAAAGTTGTCCACGCAGGAAACTATCACGACGTCGGGAAATAAGATTATAAAAGTTGTGCGAAGCAATTCTATAGTTTATAAGAAGTTGGATACTAACACCCCCGTAGCGTCCGGTCACAGCAAAGTTGACCAGAGACAGAGCGATAACGCCGTCGACAGAAAACGCTCTCTGTCCGACCAGAGCGACATCTGTGAAATACAGGAGGACGAGCTAGTCGACAATTGTTTTGAGTTCAAAAGGATTAAAATCGCTCAGTCAGAAAATACCTCTAAACCTAAACTGATCAGAAACAGACTCTCTAGTTGTAACAAAAGTGGTGATGAACAGACGTACGCAGACAAGGTTTGTAATAGAGATACCGATTCAGACTCGGAAGTACAAATTGTTGAAATAAATAGTAAAGTTGATTTATCGGACAGTGACGTCATAGACTTAGAGACGACCAGGTTAGGCGAGCCTTTCGATGTAGTTGATCTTAGCGAAGATCTGGAAGAAAGTGATCTTACGGTATCTGACCTCGATTTAGACTTAAGTAAAAATGTTCCCGACGTTGTGGCGAGTTGTCGCAAACAAACCAACAAAATGGACAGTTCAGAGAGTAATATATTAAAAGATATAGACAGTTTATTGGATGATGACTTATGATTTAGGTTATGATGTAAGTGGGTGAGTGATGCACCTTATTCATACTAAGTTGTGTAAAGTATTTACACGGTTATCGATGAAACGATAATAAAGGTAATTGACGATTTGATTATCTACGTTAGGTAGTTATGTATTATCATTTATTGTTTTGTCAATGTGCTGGGTGAGCACGGTGATAGGTACTTGCAGTTGTGATGTCAATTAAACATACGAAAGTATTTATCGTATCTGCATAAATTGTGTAATTTTGCAAATACTTGCCTTTAGCCATGTTGTTTAAAGATATTAATTAATCAATTGTTTAAAGTTGAACAATCTAGTCACAATATAAAAATTCTTGTAAAACATGGTTTTAAGGCTCAATTACCTAGAAAAAGGTATTTTAAATAGTACGTGTTGTACCAATTTTACACAAAATTATATTATCTGACAGACTTATATTAATTAATCCATCTTGCAGCAATGCTGGATTTTATGAATAATAATTGTACTCGTAAATAATTGATGATTTTCGCCTTGTAGAAAAAATTGTTTGTAAATGAGTCAACCTTTTTATCTAATGACAATTTACTTGAAGGTTATTCTGTCGTGCAGTTGGTAACACAAGACACTGCACGAAAATCATAGTGAACTGTGATTTATCATTCAATTTTGCGTACGTAGGTTAGGGTTGCTAGGTAGGTAGGTTAGACGCTATTTAACAGTAAATCTAGTGTTTATTTTATTATTATGTAGGGAATGGTAGCTATATATAATAAAATAATTACTAGATTTACTGTTAAATAGGCGAAATAGGGTCTTTATCCATCGTCTGAAAACAGGTTATTGGCAACAACGCTTGAGTAGTAGCCGTTACCGTAAAAAAAAGTAAAAAGTAAAAAAATCTAATGATAAAACATAGTTCACTGTGATTTCAAACTTCACACATTCACAAAATTTAGGTTAAATTGGGGTAGTAGCTAGGTTGTAAATACTGATTGTTTTGTTGTAGTCCCATAAAGATTAGAAAGCTGTTAATATAAAAATGCTGCTTTTTCGAGTAGAGTTTGCATTTCTACATTACACAAGCATATCACGCATTTTCTTCTGGTAAAGATAAAGGAAGGTATAGATAAAAACCACGCTTACGGATAGTGGACTAGAATACGAAAGGAACGTGGTTGACTGTCTTAGATAGTTTGGGCAGGTCTCATTGTTTATTAGATCAATCCAATTAATAGTTGTCATTCTAAAATCTAACAAGTCTAATACCCTCTTTCATTTTACACTTCTGAGATAGCTTTTAACTCGTGGTAGCTCGTTCAAAAGTTCATATATTTTTGTTCCCTGCACCTAATTGACAAAGTAAATTAAAAAAAAAAGTATTACGGACTTCTGTTCTTCTACGTGATATTCTTAACAAAAAAATTTTTAGCGATGCCTGACCATTGTGCTACAAAGCAATATTTAACAAGTTTTTTTATATCTATCCTTTTTTGTCTGTATATTTAGAATAGGTGACAACACTGAGCTACATTACTATAAGTACAGAATATTAACAGCTTTAATTGATATTAAAGTTAATTTTATAAAAAGTTGTTTCATTGCAATTGTTGCACCATTTAGCATCATCCGCCGCGTAATCAGGCTTGGTCTCATCCCCAACATCTTTCACATATTGCGAAGGTTTGTTATTCTTTGTTTTGTTAATTAACCGACCTCGAAAATTGAGATCGGTTCGTGTTAACTGATTTAATAACAGGTTTTATCTACAGTTAGTTGTCTTTTACACAAGCTGGTACTGCATATTTTTTGTGCCTTTAAAGATCTGTCAAAAATCGCATTGAACGCGAAAGGGCAGTGCAAGTTGCGATGGTGTATATATGGATTATGCTACAATCCGGATAATCGCGAAACCGTATAACTGATGTCCGGGTGATCAAAACTCTACTAAGTGTAAAAAAATTATAGTACTAGGGGAACACTGCTCCTATGATAACTATTTTTGTTAATGAAATTACCTAACGTAACGGCGTTAACACCAATAAAGTGAAACAAACAAATACTTTGATCCAAAAATGTATTTATATAATGTTATTAAAACGTTTCACCGACATCACACAATTATTCACATTTTTATATATAATAAACAATGCATTATGCACATTAAAACTATGGTTTTAAATTCGAAATAAATGCCTTGAAATCTGAATTAAGCTAAGGTTTTAGATATTTCATATTTATTTATTATTTAGAAAAGAAAAGCCAGAAATTATATAAAAAAAATAGCCACTGATAGGTATTATGCTCCTGTAGAAGTCTGATTTTGATCGATTTAGAATCCAGTGGTGTCAGTTACAAGTACTAATATCGATATGTGCATATAATACATAACTTTCAAAATCATAACTACAAATTCACAACGTTTAGGTTATGTATAATAATTGGTGAATGTTAGCAAATGCCGGTCATTGTTCGAACAGATTTAAAAATACTGAAAGACATAATACCAATGTGATACATAGAGTATCTATATATTTTTCTTTATGTTCCTATACGAGTAGTTCTAGAAACAATGAAATATCAGGAAGTATGGCATATGTTAACGTTCACCGGAGTATGACCGAAATCGCCATAAAAACAAAAATCGGTTAGGTACACTTCAGACATTCACAGCAACATATATAAGTATTTGTCCCTTCAACAAGCATGTCGTATTCAAATTAGCGAGATAAGTCAAACATTTTTAGGACTAAAAATACAAGGGTAAGTAATAATTAAATCAAGTTTGAGTGATCTACTATTTTTTTACTGTTTGACATTAGATGTTCTTTATAGAGGTATATCATGAAATCCTATTGTACAAGTCCATTAGTAAAAAACCCTCGCTCTAACTCGGGGCATCAAAATGTTACTTTACAATGAGAAATCACGATAAACAATTACACAAAACAAATTATCTATTTACACCTTGTAGGTACTTACATCTAAGAAGCCCTGTTTTTCATAAAAACATAAAATTAAAAGTTTTTTTTAATACGGTAATTGGGGGGGGGGACTGTCTTGTGTGACAAAAGCTCCTAGGGAAGATACAGGGGGAGTCATTATCAAGAGGATTTGTCATCTAGCCTCTTTTAGAACATTCATCAATTTTTTTGAAGAAGAACTTGAAGTTACGATTCCAGGTAAACGCGGTGAACCAGGTGAAAGGTAAGACGCGATAGGTTATAACTTCATCATATCCATCTGATAGCTAAAGCGATATTTTATCACATCACTCGAAACTCATTTTGGTTTTTTAACGCCAGATGCTCGTTTAACTGGACTGGTACTTCACGTTGACAATAGTAGGGTAGGTACGTGGGGCAAGTCATAACATCGGAGGATTGTCTCCTAGCGCGGAGTGTCGAGATAGAAACAATGTTCAGCAAACAAATTGGCCTGTCTTGAGTCGTGACTCGACCTATGTGTTCCTGGATTTGAAAGTTGGATTCCCCCCTGGAAGCCCCTATATAGAGGGGTATTTCAGCTAGTACAAGATTAAAGCAGAAGCAAACAAAATCTGGCAGAAAAACTTTGGGAGATAATAGAAATGAGAAAATAGTAGTGCTCTGTACCGTTAGGCTTCCATTTCAATCTGCAACGTCGACTACCGGCGACTGAATTAGGTATATAAAGAAATATAATTTCTTGCAAGTCTTTTACACTCGTAATTTTGCATTGCCGTTTTGGTAGCTATCAATGGAAGCCTTTCAGAAATGTGAAAAGTGGGCTTGAATGATTTTATTCAGAATAAATTATTCATTGTTATTTTATTATTGCGAAGGCGAAAAAATACACGCATAGAATTAGTATTGATCGCAGTCAATGTGAGATAAGAAAAAAAAAGGAGGAACATGAGTTTAAATTATTTGAAATGTGATTACTTCCTCCGTCATGACAAGTCTCAACGGAGGGCACTGGGATTCCAAGTGTTTTTAAAAATCAAGAGTCTAGCACTTCAGATACAAAATGGAAATTCTATGTGTTCTATTTCTATGGCAATTAGCAATTTACATAATTTAATATAGCACATTTTACACATTAGAAATTAAATCTATTACACAGGTTTTGTTCATGAAACATTTACAACAAATGTACACAATTATATGCTTATTTAATACTAGTCTTACCTAAGTACTTGATAATAAAATATTTTAACACTTACATCGATATATTAAACTACTTCATTCAAAGTTTAGCTAAGATACATCATTACATGTGCATCATTGAAATGTTCACATCGAAATTGTGGCTAGTATCACTTCGTTCAACTAAAAATAAATGTTTCAAACCTGCAACTTTTTTAAATAATAGTTTGTAACAATCGCGTTAATGATGATAACTTAACACTATTATTTTATGGTTACCTAAGGATTTAGTCGATTGAGACGTTCCTGACAATTTGAAAACTAATTCCCGACATCTAATTTATTGCCTGTGTTTTGCTAAAAAGAATCAATCTATAAAGTGGTTACAATATTTATTAAGGCCAAAGTATGGAAATTTGTATGAATACGTTACGAAACAGCTCAGCAGCAGGTGTTTTAAATTGCCAACCAGTTTGCTTTTGGAGCCTCATACGAAAAGAATAATCTTCTGCTGCACCTGAGGTAATTATTTTATGACATATTTTTTATAAATTTTTGATCTTGTAAAATAAAATAAGTTTTCTGACTTTTTTTTATCTGCTAACCTGGCATATGAGCTGCTGAACACTAATCACTTAACAAGTTACTTAAGTTGACTTATTAAATAGTAAAAGTGTAAGAATTTCACATACAAAACTGTAGTAATTTTCTTCGTATGATTCCAAATAAAATTTCAATATTGCAAATTTCCTAACTAGTATACTTTAACAGTCCAGTTTGATAACATTGGTGAAAGTTTACGAGCAATTGTGAAGCAAGCGACTATATTTACATGTTTTGAATGAAATATTCTAATGTTTATACAATTTGAGCCTATATTTTGTGCTCATTGTTCTGTTTTGTGGCAACTAATAGATATGTTAGTTCTTTATATTATGTATTTATTACATCTTTTGCTATAGATAACGTTCTAATATTATAAATCAATTAAATTAAGTATCACCAAAATACATTGACCATTAAATAAATTCGTCTATACAAAACTTAATATTTTACACAATTATAAAAACACAGTGCTGCGCTTCTAAATCAAAAAAAATAATTGTGATTGTCTTGATTTGAGTGTGGTGAGTGATGTCATGCATAGAGATAATATAAATAGAGGAAGCGTATATTCCTCTGTAAGTGATAGCGTACGGCCGGTAGACAGAGAAAGAAGACTGTTTTGGTCTTTCATCTCTCTTTGCTTGGCTGATACTGAAGAGGGCTTAAAATAGCCAATCAGTGCAAAGAGAAGACAGAGATGCAAGACCAAAACAATCTTCTTTCTCTCTCTACCAACTGTATGTAATAGCGCCTTGCTCGCTTCCTCTTACATTTATAAGCTCTTTGCTGACAATTGGCATCTGTCATTTGACATTTTATAATGTAATTGTGACGTAAATATATAAAACGATTAACTCGAGACTATTAATCGACATTATAGTCGATAAAATTGCTACAAAATTATACAAATATTTTCCTGGTAAGATTTGTTCAGTTATTTGATTCAGAAATTCTTAATAATATGATTAAAATCATATTGAAAATCACAATCTTTTTACATGATTGGTATCATCATCATTCACTTTGAAACAGGCGCTTCCAAGACCTTATACTATAAAAAAGACGGTTAGATTTTCTATTACAACATTCTTGTGACAAAATCGGCTTAATTTAATAAATAATATTTATTAAGCATTTAAAATTGTTGAGCAACTTTATTCTTACTACATTAAGGTGCTAAAAGAGTTAGTTAAGACTATAGGTCTTACTATCACTAACACTTTGTGAAATGGCATTGTAAATATTTGAAAAAATATCAGGCTCAGGATGTTAAACCAATGCTTCAGGCAGTTAGAACTCTATAGATTTAGAAATCTCTGCCGACAGCTTTTAAGCAAGAGTTTTTCATGAAGATTGCTATTAATTGAGCCAATCCAGCCGCCTTTTTTTAGAAGTAATTGATATAGCTAAAATATCGCCATTTTTATTACTATATTCTGTATAATGTACCTTAAATAAATAAATTACTAATGAAACCGCTATTGAAGTAAAGCATACAGAGTCCATAATACGTGCAATTCCCATCGTAAGCTTAGTTGGATCCATCTATTATTAAGACACCGGCTTCATTAGGAGGAATAGTCCTATCCACATGACTTGTCCATTATCGAGACCTCACAGCGATTGTTACTAGTAATATGGTTCTTCAGCATCAAAAAGAATATTTATTAAAACAAAATGGAAAAAAGGTCTTGATGTCTTACTGTAGTAAGAATTAACTTTACCCAATGTTTTGTAAAAGCATTAAAAGTAATCTTGTTGTAGAAGGTATTTTGAGTGAAAGTTGCACGGCTAGTTCCACCAGGGTCACTGGAGACGAGACCAGTACTGCTGCGAGTCCTGTCCGGGGACTGCTAATGGTACTGACACACCTGTTCCCAGTAGTCCTCCTAGTTCTGGAATGAAAAAAAAAACACAGGAATGTACCAGTAACCCCTCTAAGCGACCTCGTCTTTTTCGATCCACTGTTGTATTTTTGTGTCATTTCAGAGTCACTTTCAATGAGGTAAGTCGAAAGCCTATTCTATTTTTAGTTTAATAAAGTACAACTTACAAGTTCATTTCGAGGCTATCAGCGTGGGAACGTGAAATATGTCTGTACCAGAAACTAGACACCATGCTGTCTAAAATTATGCTCTATTTAATTTAGTTTTTAAAGTAGGTACATATTATATTAAATTGTTAAACGTACATATGTAGTAGTATTCAGTCTCGTACCTGGTGGTGGTGAGGCCGGTTCGTGCTGGTATCCATGGTGGTTCACATATGGGTGGGGAGGCTGTCTGTAGCCCAGCTCATAGCGCGGGTACCCCAGAAACCCACTCTTGCACAGCTCAGGATCCGTGGTATCGCACACTGGAGTTTCGGGGACCATCCCACCTCCGTAGCCCATAGGGGTCAAGGGGCTGGAAAAATTATAATATACTTATAAAACATGATTTTTGGCCATCCGACACCGTTTCGTCAAGTTTATCGTTATTCAATTAACTCATTGCAATTTTACTAATCGAGATAGAGCAGAAATATACAAGTGCAGCTAAAGAAATAAGAAAGCTGGTCCAGTCACCTGTAAGTGTCGACGTTGAGCGGCGGCTGGTAGGGCTGGTGCGTGGGGAGCGCGGGGTGCGCGGGGTGCGCGGGCGGCGGGTGCGGGTGCGCGACGGGCGCCGCCACGTAGGCGCAGTCGGGGCTGCGGCGCTGCGAGCGGATCTTCTCTTCGCGCCGCCACTTCGCGCGACGATTCGAGAACCATACCTTAACGTCGGGTTAGGTTAACAAAACGCGCGGTGGTTACGCGCTAACATATGGAGGGGCAATGGTTTTAAGACGGATGGAGTTGGCTTTAAGGATTACCTTTTCTAGATTGTGGTCGATAAAGAGTGAGTATATATATAACCACCGATTACTATAGGTACAGCTAATCATATTGCTGTATGATTCATCATTTCAATAAAAAACAAAACTATCGTTTAGAATATACCCATAATTTAACAATCCTTTAATGTAAAGCTAAAATGATAAAACAAAAAAATGGTCTTCAAGGATCCACCAAATAGACCAAGTCTTTTGAAAACAAGAATTGCCTTCAAGAAGTCACTACTGAATTTAACAACACTCAAATGTCTCATATCCGTGTAGCGACGGATTAAGAATACGGAGTGTCACCACCCCTATTCATCCCGTGGGTGTCGTAAGAACCCAGGGGAGCAAACTACGCAGAACAACAGCACTGCAAAGAAAAGGAAAACTTGACACACCCTTTTTTCGGACTCGGACCGACTAAAACCACACGGTGTGCCACTCTGCGCCTGTAACAGGAGGGATCCGGGAACAGCTGTTGTTAAGACATCCGGACCCCTCCTAGCGCCAGCCCGCTCCTGGTGCGGGCTCCGTCTCAATGTGGATGTTCCTCTCTTTAGGCGACGTCCGGCACACGCGGACGCCGCCCCCTCGCGGCTGGCCAACTAATGCGGGTGGAGGGGAAACCCACCCCGTCCACCCGCGGCCACACTCAGGGCGGCATGAGGCTGTGATAGGCGGGCCTCCGCCGCCCGGTTCGCCGGCGGCGGGACTCAGTTCCCTCCTAGCGACCGTGTGCAGGTACTTTCCGAAGCAACCGTGCCCGGAAAGCACCTGCGTCAGCCGGAAGGAAAGGGTCCCGTGCTGCCGCCCTGCCCACTCGGCGATGACCGGCTGGAGAGCCTCCACGGCGGCGAAGCCAGCGCGTGGAGTCTCCAGCCGGAACGACCAACGAGCCATCGTGGCTCGGCGAGCGGCTTCGCGCCACTCGCGCACATCCTCGGGCGGAGGGCGAAATCGCAGAGGTGCCGGACGATGCGGGCAGAAAGAACCCTCTCAAACAATTTGCCCGCCTCGTCCAGCAGCACGATGGGCCTATAGGCCGCGACCGAATCGGCAGGCCGTCCCGGCTTCCTCAATAGGACCAGCTTCCCGCTCTTCCAGCACTCAGGGAAGCGTCCCGACGCCAAGCTAGCGTCGAACACCTCCCCGAGGCGGTCTGCCATGTGGTTGAGGGCCAGGGCCAGCACTCGGGCCGGTACCCCGTCTGGCCCAGGGGCGGTGTTCTTGGAACGGATCCGTAGAACAGCCGCCCCTACCTCCGATTCCCGGACGGGCGGAACATTGTCCTCCCCGTGCTCCCCGTCGTCTCCGGCCAAGGAGGCCATCGACGGGGGAGTGTGTTCCGCCCGTTGTGGGAAAAGGCCCTCAACCACTTCTCGCAGGAAGCTGGGCTGGAGAGTCTCCGTAAGGGGGGGGCCCGACGCGCGGAGCTTTTGTCGCACCGCGCGGTAAGGGCGACCCCAGGGGTCACGATTAAGACCCTCCAGCATCTCCTGTCTTTTTTCTTCTTTGGCGCGGCTAATGGCCAGCTTCAGAGTTTTCCGCGCCCGTCGGTACTCCTCATGAAGCCGGTCCTCCTCACCGTCTCCACGGTGACGCCGCCGACTGCGCGTGTAGGACCTCCGGGCACGTGTACAGGCCGCACGGAGGTCCGCCAGCTCCTGGGACCACCAGTAGACCTCCTTCCTTGGAGGCCGACGACCTCGAACGCGGGGCATGGCCGCATCGCATACATGCGTAATCGCATCGCGAAAGCGGCCAGCCCCCACGTCGACCTCCTCGGTCGGAGCCTGAGGAGACAGCCACGAGTGAATTATGGCTGCCTCCTCTAGTAGGTCCCGGTTCAGCCTGGCAACAGCCCACCGCGGAAAGCGGGATAAACGCCGCGCCACGTGACCCCTACTGGAGTCCTGGGTCCGGGAGAGCTCAAATCGGATATACAGGTGATCCGAGAGCGTCTCAACCTCTTCCAGGACACGCCAGTTCCTTACTCGTGCGGCGAGGGCAGGGGTAGCGAACGAGAGGTCCACTATCGACCCCCCCTGCTGTCGCACGCACGTGTTGGTGGAGCCTCTGTTTAGAAGACAGAGGCCCACCGAGGCCGCCCACTCCTCTACGGCCTCGCCCCTGGCGTCCGTCCTGGGGGAACCCCACGCAATGGACTTTGCGTTGAAGTCCCCCAGCACAAGGACGTGCCCAGACGCTAGTCGCCGTATTGTAGTGTGCGGCTCGCCTTACCTTATATGTAACTGCACACATTTATTTAGAACATTATTAAACCGATTATGGAACCGAACAGTTGTCTATAATTTACCTACGTCACATGGCGACCCTTAGCCAGCAGTTTTTATTCGTTTAAATTTTTATTGAAATTTTAAAATTATGAAGAAAGAAGGCGTATAGTTATTTAAAAGACTAGAAGATTATTGAAGAATGTAAATTGAGGAACGTTAGAAGAATGAAAATGTTGAAGAGAAATTGATTTTGAAGAAAGACGATGAAGATTACTCATAGAAGATTTTAGAGAAGACAAAAGTCAAAAGACTCTTACAGAAGAATACCATGAAAGAAGACCAAAAATAAATCTGATTCGATTATCGATCGATCTCTCTCTCGATTCTTGATATTTTTGAAGATGTTGTATGTTGGTGCCGGGTGTCTGGAGAATGCTCAAGCCTATGATGAGAGGATGTGCAGGCTGCCGGGAGATAATAGTACGGGTCCGATGTGGAGCAGCCGGGAGTCAGTTCCAGTTCAATAGTTGAATTTCGTAATAATCAACTACACCACGTTCGACGTCATTCGTGACCTACTTACATATCCGGTGGCGGTAAGCGCATTCACCCGTATTTTTGCGATGTCAATCATTTTTTTTACGTTATTATTTTTATTTCAATAGTTATGGTATTATTTTACTGTATTTTTATATTATATTAAAGGTATGTCCCAACAATTAGACGAATTGCATTCAAAGTTAAAATATTTAAAGGAATATTTAGTCAAACTTGGTGCAGATAGGCGTAAACAGGAATTAGGTTTTAAGAAGTTAGGGGAAGCTGAAAAGGAGTATAAAAAGTTGGATTATATTTTGACTCAGTTGAACCAAGAAGTTACTGATCGCAAGATAAGCAAAGAATCTTGTGAGTGCTTTCAAACATTAATTAATGAAATTCAATTAACCTTTAAATATATAAAGGGTTTATTTTGTATGATAGACAATAGCAGTCAAACTAGTTCTAGGGATTTATTAGGTATTTTTAAAATGGCTGACTCATTTGATATTAAAACTGCAATTTCCTTATTGCCGGTAATGAATGGCCAGGAGCAGGTGACTAAGCAGCTCGTAGATGGTATTTTATTTTATAATTCAGTTTTAAATGAGGAAAGTAGAAGCAAATTAATAGAATTTGTCTTAAAAACTCGGTTGTCACCAAGTGCCAAACTTCGGCTTAGGTCTACATATAGGGATGCTGAAACTTTTGTACAGGACATTCGAAAATATTTATTGCCTATAAAGTCTACGGTCGCTTTGCAAACACAATTGTTTAGGGCTTCTCAAGGGCGTAGAAGTATTGAGAAATTCGGTACAGAGCTCGAGGAGTTGTTCGTGAAGCTCACGATAGCTCAGGCGAACGATAATCGTGATGCCTACGAAATATTGCGTCCTCTCAATGAGAAGACTGCAATCAAGAGGTTTAGTGATGGTTTAGCCGATCATCGTCTCGGTACCATCATTGCATCAAAGGGAATTTACGTCATTGCCTGAGGCCATTAGAGCCGCGGTAGACGAACAGTCCATGTGTACCCAACATCAAGATCAGGTCATGCAGTTTAGGGCTACCCAAAATAATAGGCGTGATTTCACTTATAAACGAGGTTTTCGTGGCCGAGGTAATAATCACTTCTATAATAATTATAATAGCAATAAAATAAATCGCACACAGTACAATGGCACGAGTAGCGGTCAAAGACCCTCGTTATTTATACATCGAGGTAATAGCAAAGACATTCAGCAGCGTCAGCAGTATCGCGGTGCGCGGACGGCACGTAGTCAATGTGTCCAGCATAGTGTGCAACAGTAATAACTTAGAATTTTTTCGTCCCTAAGGAATGCACTCATTCCATTTTTAGTTTTAGTAATTTTTGTGTAGTTAATTGTCAACTTAGAAATAATAGTAATTTCAATTTATTAATAGATAGCGGAGCAAGTTTATGTGTGCTTAAGTATGAATGGTTGTCGCGACACGAGAGTTTGTTAGGTTTAATGCAGCAGGATAAGATAGCTATTAAAGGGATTAGTGGATATTTAGAATCTCTGGGATATATTTACTTAGATATTATTATTAACGGCGTAGAGTTCAATCAAAAGTTCTATATTTTTGAGAACTTATTTTGTACCGCAGAAGGCATTCTCGGTCAGGATTTTTTTATGAGATATAACGGGATATTAAATTATAAAGATGGTACTTTAAGTTTAGAAAACCGAGACCAATCAGTTAATATTTCAGTTAATAGTAGTAGTAACAATATGTTTACAATTCCGCCTCGCTGCGAAGTAATAAAACACTTTCCGACGTCACAAGATAGGGATTGCGTCATTTTGTCTAAAGAAATTTATAAAGGTGTTTACACAGCGGGTATTGTATCGAAACCACGCAATGGTTTCATTCCTGTTAGGATTTTAAATACTACTAATAGTTCGGTAAATATACATTTTTCGGATATAAGTACTAGTTATTTAGAGAATTTTAACGTTTGTAGGTTTGACGATAATACCGTTACTACAGATAGAGTCAAAACTTTGCTTAGTACTTTAGAATTAAATTTATATCTAAATAAGGAGGAACAACGAAGTATTGAAAGCATATGTGCGAAGTATGCTGATGTTTTCC